TGAGAAATCGACAGCTGAATTCTCTGTGTGAATTTGTGTAGTCTCGCAGCAGCAGTCGGGACCCGCAATTATATCTCGTCACTGTCATCTTCCTGGCCCCTCCTGTTCCCAGACTTGAGACTACGAACATTATCCCAGTACTCCTTCACGAGGCTCAGGGCATTCTCTAGATTTTTCGCCGGCTCTGTAGTCACTTGCCACTCGATCTTGTAGTACACCAGGCCGTCAACCTCCTTTCGCCCAGCGACCTCTCCTGACCAATGCTCCAAAGTAGGGTCGTATCGACGCGAAGGTGGTCTTCTGGAACTAACACATCCATGAAGACTGTCCCAACTGACTAGGTCTGGCAACATGTGCTGAAGTCGGTCTCTGCATTCCCAGGTCGGTTGCCAAGCCACGTGATAATAGATTGCGTCACCAGACTGGCTGTGTCCTTGGATTCGTCTCACTTGCCATTCCGTCGTACTCGATCCGTCTTCTCTGACTTGGTCGACTGATGTTGCTCGCATTTTCGGTTGTTCTGCTAGCCGAAGACTGGTGTAGACGTTGTATCTGAAGTTATACGTACGGTGGGCGTCGGGCGGGACTCGAAGGTAGGATAGTAAAGGATGTGTCGACGTTGCTGTTTAAGAAATGTGTGGCTTTTCTTATAGATACTAGAGTCGCATCCCAATGAATAGCGACGACTAGACTATGTACACTCGTGATATCCCACATTGCTTAGTGATCGGTTCCTTCACTGACAAAGTTTGGAGTCGAGATGTTTGGGGCCGAGAACGAGTGAGCAGCTACAACCTCACAGTCCACAGAACTCCAATAACAGACCTGTATACATGGGTCAACGGGTACAGTACCGCTCCGGCCACAGTCAAATCCTGGGTTTTCGATGTGCAGACCCGCTGCCACAGCCATTTGTGGTCCCCTCTGCACATGGCACCGGAAACAAGATCGGCTAGCGGTCCTTGATGGTCCAATCGCCAAGACTGTGGCTTCCCAAGCGCCAAGACTGTGACTCCGCAAACGCCAAAAGCAGCCGACTCGTTCCATTCGTTGATGTGGGCCATGCTAAAAGCCGACTGTCAGTTTGTAGAGAAAGGTTTGTTCTTCGTGAAGACGGGCGCCTTGATTGGTTGCAATCCTTGACAGCGGAGTGGTTCGCAGACGACAACGTAGTTTAGACGCCTGCGTGCGCAGAACTGACGGTGAGTCACAAGTCATTTGCAGTACTATATACATACCTTGATTTCCGAGCGCGCTCAACGCTTTTATGTACACGCCGTTGAGGGTGCGAAACGCGCACCAGCAACAGAGGTGATTGAATAGTCGCTGTCCAGAACAGCTTTGACATTGCGCCACAATGTCGAAAAGGTTTCCATGGCAAATGGCCTTGAAAATGCCACATGGATCAGAAAAACAGAAAATGGTCCCTGTGTTTTTGGCAACGTGGTAGCTGAGATTGTTAAGACTGTCGACTTGATCTCATGCGACCATCAAGTCACTTGATTCACAACTTAGGGCTTCGTAGCGGATCACGGTGGGGTAGGGACATAGTAGGGACATAGTGAAGGAACACTTTTCTAGATATCACGAAATCGTACGGCAAAGGCAAATATTCTGTACTAGGTCAAGTAAAGCGTGACGTCTTTGTTAAGGAAGCGGAGGCCTGATATAGTCACAAGATACTGTATCTACTTCTTAACTA